TAAACACAGTTTTACTCAACAAGATTCCATTGTTAAAATCTAGTCTAATAGCTAAATATCCTATGATGATTTTGGTCATTTTTGTTATTTGTGATTTGAAGGTTTGGGGTGTTGCTTTCTTCGCTAGATTAAAATCACAAAGAGAAGCCTACTGTTGTCTCCCTTGTCTGCCATTCTGCTGACCAAGATAGTTGGCAGAAAAAGTACAATTGAGTAAAATGATTTTTAGATGTGGGAGAGCAATACATTATAACTAAATATATTTAAAGTGAACCTTCACAATTTGCTTATTTCAATTTTATTTTAAATAAAGCAGAAGTGGGCGCCTGGGTGGCTCAGATGGTTAAGCGTCTGCCTTCGGCTCAGGTCATGATCCTGGAGTCCCGGGATCGAGTCCCACATCGGGCTCCCTGCTCGGCGGGGAGTCTGCTTCTCCTCCCCCTGACCCTCCTCCCTCTCCTGCTCTCTGTCTCTCGTTCTCTCTCTCTCAAATAAATAAATAAAATCTTTTAAAAAAAATAAAGCAGAAGTAATTATTTATGCTTACGTTATTAGCTAACATAAATGCATTACATTCACTTGACCCTAATGTATTAAATGTGTTTGCAGGCAAAATTAAAATAAACTGAAAATATCTATAACATGTTCATACATAAGTCCAAATTTCACTGTAAGGAACAATAACAGCAAAAGTTTTTCTGAGTTTTGAAAAAAAAAATCTCTGACACCACCAGGGCCCAATGAATGACATTTGAAATACTCTTATAATTCAGAAAGAGATGATGAATGGATATGCTATGGAGTTTGCATATATTTGGGAGGAGAATGAGGGATGAAGATAGGGTTTCAGAGTAGAGAAAGTGACTTGGTCTATAAAGTCTTGGATGTAGACACTTTGGGCCACAGAATAATTTCCAGGAAATTGGGATGAATTGGCATATTAATAAGATATTTATAAAACATCTATCTTTTATGCTTTTGAGAACTCCTGTATTTGCCAACAAAAGAAATAGTAAGAATATCAAAAGAAAAGCTAACTTCAAAAATGGTATTTGAACAACTATTTAAACCTCTGAAGAACTTGAAAAATAAAGATCACTTACACTAGGGTTCAGAACTTTAGCACTTCCAATTGTGGTCTGTCCTTCCTTTGATTCTTGGGTCTAGTTTACATTAAACCCAAGAACATTAGACCCAAGAACAGAGCTAAGAGCCGCTCTCTTCTTATTTAAATGGAGTCCAATTTATTTTAGCTTGAGATTCCATCTTTTAAAATCTCATCCTGAGCTTCTCAGAAAACCCAAAGGTCATGTTTACAGAATAGATGCACAGCAGGATTAAATAAATGTGGAACTGCTTGAGCTGCAGGCCTTCTTTTTTATTCTATCAGAGATGCTGTTAATCTTCAGATGATTGTTTTTGCAATATAAAATATATATCCTGGATTATGAAAACTAATTCCCCACCTGACACACTCATAAACAGTTTTGTAAGAGCTAATTTTAGAATGTTCCCAGGTTTTTTCATGTCATCATCAGAAACAATTTACATTTTAAAAAATTCTCCAGTGCCCCTCAAGACCCTTTTATAAGCAAACACTCCTCCACAATACAAAGCAATAAATGTAGTGAGTTTTGCATACTGTGGAAAAGATGAGAGCCATGCTTTTTATTATCTTTCCTTGTTTTCACTGGTGGATGAGAAGAGGATTGTTATGAAAAATTGATAATGTAAGATGATCAGAGAAGGCCAAAAAAAAAAAAAATGACAACAGCAAATACGACCAAAGGAATAAGTTGCACTATCAATCACAGTAGTTGATACATTGCAATTTAACTGATAGCTATAATCACACTGTTCTTAGCTCTTACATTCTTTCTGTGTGCTAAGTTATGTCAGCAGGGATTCATCTCATGAGCAATATTTCTTGTTTATGGAACTCTCTTAGTTCATAAAGCATTTTCATGTTATTATTATTTCATTTGCTTCACACCATAACCCAGTGAGATAGATGAATTAGGAATTACTGCCTATATGTTATAGATCAGTAAAAAAGATCACAGACTATAGTCATACACTCCTAAGCAGTTTTGAGGCCAGAACTACTGATGCAATGCACTTTTCTCCCTACCAGACTTTGAGTCAAAACACACATGAGCATGCAAACACACACACACACACACACACACACTACTTAAAAGAAAAAAAAATTTCCAGTGAAATTTTTCTCCCATGAAAACTGCTATTATTTTTCCAGGATCCTCTTCTTTCTTTGAGATGGGTTAAAATATATAGGTGCTATTTGAATTAACAAATATAACTAGTGGTTTTTTGAGAATGATAGTTTTTTAAACCATAGAAATATTTCATTTTAAGCAAATATAAGATATAAAAATTCAGTTTGCTGGGAAGAGGAATTAGAGGATTATATTGCTTTACAAAAAGACTCTGAATGGAATTGCTTTAAATAGCAAAATTCCCCAGAACATTTAAGATATGTTGATTTATGAAAATCTGATTCATATAGAACTTTACAGGAATACATCTGCTATATAAATCCGTGTTCACCTGTAATTTACTCTAGGGGGAACAACTGAGTGATAATAATAATAACACACTCATATAGTTCTTCGTTATGTATTTTAAAGTGCCTTCCCCTAATTTATTGCATTTGTCTTTGGCAACCTTATAAGGGAGGCAGAGAGGGTATTATTATCCTTTCTTTATAGATGAGAAATTGAGAGGTTAAGTGACTTGCCCAAGGTCAGACAGACTATTCATTCATTTACTGCTATTTGAGTGATGTAGTTTTAACGGGTTAGTCAAGGAAGTAAGGTTCTTCCTCCTAATTTTTTTAAGCAGCTGTGAAGGCTATTAAAACAGAGGTGGATGATCTCACAAATATAATGCTGAACAAAAGAAGCCAGACACAAAAGCATACAGACTGTATGATTCTACTAATATAAAATTCAAATGCAGGCAGAATTAATTTATGGTGGCAGAAGTCAGAATGGTGGTGAAATTTGGGAAGAGGCGGATGGTGACGAGGAAAAAGGGGGGCTTCTGGCATATGCTAATATTGTATTTCTTGCTCTGGTTTGTGGTTACATAGTTATGCTCACTGTGAAAAGTCACTGAGATGTATACTTGTGATTTGTTTATATTTCTTTATATATATTATGGAAGTTTTCTTTAAAAAAAGAGTTTTGTATCTTTAAAAACAGTACAGCACTTTAGAAGATCATTACATATCCTTTGAACATATGTGATTTCAACTAAGTTTCCTAGCTGCATTCTAAAATGAGAATCTGAACTAAATTAGAAGAGTTTAAAGAGAAGGAAAAGTTTATAAAAAACAAACATCTGGGATCATCTTCACCTGAAAAGTTGCTATCTGAAATGGGAAATCAAAGCAAACTAAGATAACATAATTCATTTAGGACCAGTGGAACATTTACATTTAATGACATTAAGCTGGGAATTGTAGAGAAATGACATTAAATTGTGATTCACATAGTGTATTCTAGAGTATATGTATGACTCTAAGGAAGATCCGATTTTAATTTTTTTAAAAAATCTGCTTTATTTTAGAATTTCGTATATTAGGATGCTGCATTGGGCATCAAGGTAGAAAGCCAATGGCAATGATAAAAATCTGAGGAGAATGTGCATACCTGGGGACAAACATGGGCTCCTGAGAATCCCAAGTAGCCTTCCATGTAAGAATGTTTGAGAGAAATATGTTTTGACCATCATGCAGGATAGAAATTACAGCTGCATTCAGTTGCTTAAGGCAGTTTCAAAATTTATATTGCAGTTTTCTAAGAATCCCTCACCCCCTGTGACCCTGTAACTCTGAGAACTAATACTGCGCTTGTACCCAAAGTTACCGCTGACGACATATGTTTTGTTTAATTTTCACATATTATCTTTTTTGTTGTTTTTCTTTCATTTTATTTTTCTAAAAAAGAATCCATTATAGTACCTTCAAGTCATCTGAATCAATTCTCTTATCTTGATATCATAGGTCGGGAACAAAGAATTTCCAGGTGTGTGTGTGGGGGGGGGTCAGACTCCATTTCAGGGTGCTTTCCTTTCACCAGTGATGTCTCAAAGCCAGCTCCACCACAGCTAGGACTACAGCTTGGTGAGTTTTTCCCCAGGAGGGCCCTTGAAGGCATCCTGTTCAGGGAGAAGCCTTTAACCTTTAACCCATTCACACATTTGTTTTAATTCCTGACCAACTGCCATATTCTTGTGGGTTAGGGCCTTGCTAACTAATTTTTTAAAAATACATGTTAGACCCGAAACACCTGTAAGTAGCAAGCTGCACATTGTGTATAAGGCACACAATCAAGTTCATTGTGATCACTGCATCCAGGACAAGTGTGAGACTTAGCTGTCTTCTGGAATCTGGGTTATTAGAAGGTCAACCCGTGTTCCCCAGAACACGGCTCCAGAGATAGGGAGGAAGAGACAGGAAGAGGTAGGTTGAAGGAATTCTACTCTTCAAGGCTCAGCAAGCTGCCCCAACTTCTCTTTCACTGTCAAAGGATAAACAAATCACGAGGAATGGGACATGAATGTCTATGGGCAAGTCCATGTGGAATCATTTCATGATGTTTTTTAATGACAGGGATCAAGAAGGCACAACTGTTTCTTTCTGGGGGAACCCTTCAACAACAAAAACTCCTTGAATCCCTGTGGAAGCCTCACTATATTAATTCACAGTTAGTCATATTCCTCTGAATGTGACTTTTGAAAACTGAAAACTCATTCCTTCGAAACTCATTCCTATTTAAGCTAATACACATATCCCTGAATTTAATCTTCCTTACAGCAGCTGAATAAAGCAAATTCCATCCTTTGACCTTCCTCACTGTTTCTCATTCCTCCCATCTGAAATCTCTCACTTTTTCCTTATCCACAATCTAGACCACAGTTTTAAATAACTTAGACTTCCATTATTTTTAGTATAGAAAAAAAATTGAGATACTTGCCATCAAGCCTTGTTCTCCTGGTTTCCCTGGTTCACCCTTAAAAAAGAATAGTGATAATTTTTATTAATGCCATAAACATTAAAAAGCAATTTCAATCTTTTTTTTTCTCTTTCACAATACCCACCGGGGTGTATGAATGTCAAATATACTTTTCAGGCTAAGTAGAGAAATGCAAACACAATGTAATAAAAAGAGAGCCAAGTTCTTTCTTCAAATGCATTTTATAAACATTTTAGGATTTAATAAAATGAGTCTAGATCACAGCAGAGATTTAAGAATCATGCCAAGAATGTATTCTAAATAAAACTAGTAGGGGTGATTATATTGTAAGTCAATAAATGGTCCTAGAAAAATATTTAATTGTAATTCTAGTAACATCTCATTTATTATGTTCTGTTCATGATGACATAAAGATGATGACCTGGGCCTCTTTATGAGAACTCAGAACTTCCATATACAGGACAGAGAGACAACCTGCTCTTAGTACAGGAATTAAATAATAAAATGAGCAGATTGATTTTGAATTTTGGTTTCCCTGGATTAATGATGGCTGAAATAACATGTTTTATTAAAAATAATAGCATATGTTAAAATACATAGAATTTTGTGCTGTATCATACCACTATCATAGTTTTCTAATACTCAGATTCATATAAAATTCCTTATTATGTTTTATTGTTATATTATTATATTGGCAACAGATAGCTTTTGGAAAGACCATCGTGTAATGTTGATAGCTATAGAAATTGTTGGACTTTAAAAATAAGTATTTCTCAGTTTGTTTTTATAAAACCTTTTTCTAGTGGTTATGATGGTACATAAAAATTAACTGTGAGACTATAAACACAGTTTAATTTCTCTGTGGAATTAAAAAAAAAAAAACCCTGTTCATACTTCCATGTAAAAGCTCCATTTCTTACTCAGATGAATAAACTATATTCATTTAGAGGATAACATAATTTTTCAATATTTACAGGTTGTCATACCTTACCTTTATCTTATTTCTTGAAAGTAATCTATACTTTGAATTTTCTGTAGAGTATACAATACCCAATGATCTGACTAATTTTGTACCACCAAAATGGTTTTAACTGCTCTTCTTAGTTGAAGAAACACTCATTGTATCTTTCTTGGCAACCAGCAATCATTTGGGGAGCTTTTAAATATCCCTAAAGGTGTGCTGTCTCTATCATTTGCAATATCATCCCAGGAAAATATCAGACCTTTGAAGACAGTTTCAAGATGAAACCACTACCTTTGATGGTTCAGTGAAAGCCGTCCTAACAACCAACCAATCATAGGTTGGGAGTCAATCCCTCACTTCAAATGACAAATTTACAGCCACTTTCAGAAAGGGAAATGGGACTTCTAAGAGATTGTCTCAGAAAAGCCATAAAGTACCCTATATTCTTACAAAGAGATTCACTCTTTGAAAAAAATATGTAAATATATGAATATAAAAATGAAATACACCAAAACATTAATGACTATGGCTGATTTTTTTTTCTTTTTGGTTCTTTAGTTTTAAAAACTTTCTACTTTGTGGATAACTATTTTCATTATTTTGTACTATGAAAACATTCATGAAAATAATTTAAGTCAAAGAAATAGATTAAAAAAAGGCAATAGATAAATAAATTAATTCAGCAATAAATTTGAATTTCAAGTCCTAAGGCCATAATATAAGTGTAAAATTTTTTTATCTTTTCCATATATTTCTTTCAATTGCTGGGTTGTCTCAACCAAATCAAACCATGTAACTACTGTATTATTGACACTTGATCAATCTTAGTGACTAAGTACTTAGATCTAAGTATTGAGATTGCTTTAAAATCATTTCTATTAATAAACTTCACATATAAAGGACAAATGATATTCAAACCAGACCTATTGATGTTTTAACCATTAATGTTACTATTTTATTAGCACTTTTTTCTTTTTTTTTCTTTTTTGGTCAATTTATTTATAAGAGAGTAAACGTTGAAAAGATTTACCTCCTTTGCTTTCCATAATTCATATGGGACTTTATTGTCTGCCACTGACTGATCCTTTGGAGAATGTTGCCAATCTCTCACCTAGATTTTCAAGCTATTCTCCCATCATTTAAGCCAAAGGCACTGATGTATTCCAAGGTAGTCAGGACACAAGTGAGATCAGGCATGCTCAATCATGGACTTCTTGAGGCTTACCTGAAAACCAGTTTAGTTGCCTTTTCCGGGTCTCTCTTTGTGTTTCATGTGGGTTCCCCAGAGATTGAATGGTAAAGCAGAATCCTGCTGGCAGTGCCCTTTCTGCTTGGGACTTTCTATCACCCCACTTCCTGTAACCCCCTAACCCTAAGGCCCCTCCTTACCCTACTCCATCCCAGTTCTCAGCCCTTAAAACGAATGGATCCAAAATGCAACTCACGGGCACTCCTGGCATTCCACGGGGGCCATCTTTCCCTGTGTCCCCTGGAGGCCCTCTTGGGCCAGGGGGCCCTGGGGGTCCTGGAGGCCCAGCCTGTCCTTGGTCACCCTGTAATGGAGAAGGGAACAGACCAACGATGACCATGAAAGATAAAGACCCAGGTCTTCTTTTCAACACTTTAAATTTGTATTATCTAATCCACATTTACACTATGAAAAGAACCAGAACAATCAGAAACATGAAGCCTGTAGGCAATTTGCCTGCCAGCAGGGAGCAAATAAATATTCATGCTGGGCAAGCTGAGTAGATGCTATTAAAATCAAAGGAGCTCAGGAACCAGCACTCTCAGCTCTTAGAAATAGTGTGTAAGTTATCATGATAGTCAGAGCTGGTATAAAACTTTTGCATAACTTGATTCATGACAATGCTGCATCAGTTATATTCATCTTAATAAAATGGCTGCATTTGTGGTTGGACAAATGTGTTTACTTTTTCACAACTTATAAAATTAAACATACAAGCTCTTGTCAAACTGTGTAGTAATTGATAAATTACCAAAGCAAGAGAGCTTAGAAACTGGATCTATTACTGGATATAATTTCAGCTGTCTTTCTTTAATTAAGAAAAAATTAGGCATTCTATGCCTTTTTACTTTGGTACTTTCATATACATTTCAAACAAATGCAGCTCCCTAGACATAGTTTTGCTCCAGGATAGTTCCAAATAAATACCCCCACCCATGAGAGATAAATGGTAAAGCAACTGTAAATGGAGTAATAACTGAATGTTAAGAAGAAATCAGACTTGAGCAAGAAGAAGCACTACCTTAATGAGGCGGCGTTTAATGAGCTGCTGATCAGCAGAGAGAAACCCATGATTGATTTTAGGAAACACCATCTGATCAGTCAGGTGAGGTCAAAGGTTGAAGTTCAGAGGTGAGAGAGTTGGAGAATAGACATCAGAAGGCCCCAAGAAAGAAATAAAGATATACATATTAGACTTAGAATGATCATTAAACAAAATGGAACTGGTGCTTGTGTCTGACGTCAGACTTTCTCTTCTTGTAAGAAACATAACCCAAAAATGGGACGGCGAGACTAGATTTGTAGTCAGAGAAGAGTCTTTTGTGTATCCCATCATTTTGCCGTGGGCGTTAGGTCTCTTTAATGCAGCATATGAAAGAAGCAGGAACGCTCCTATCACCCGCACCCTGCAGACTGAGCAGAAAGTCCGGAAACAAAGCACCAGTTCCAATTCCATCAGACTTGTCAACCAGCATAACGTGGCATGAACGCAACTGCCATTTTATAAATGCCCGAAGTCCAGAGTCCTGAGGGTTCTTTAATTGACCGAAAAATGTCACAGAGTGTTGGCATGCATGCAGATCAAACCATCGAGGTGTGGCACCATCCTAGACGGTCATGCCTGCCTCTCTTCATTATCCCTGCTCGACTTCAATATCCTTCTCTCTTCTATGTTCACGATTCTCCCCCTCTCAATAGCTATTTGGCCTCGTTGATGTAGGTGAGGTCCCAAGGATCCAAGACCTCAGTGCATATGGTGAAAGGGAGCAACTGGACTTGGCAAGCCAATTTAGCTGTTCTTGCTCACTCTTATGCTGATTGCAGGCTCTGACTGAGCAGCAATGGGTGTCAACCACAAACCTTGACGGTGAGGATCTGATTACTGTGCAGAGCAGCAACTGTGGGGAAGCCTGGTAGACCCTATGGACGTGGGACAGTACCAAAACAACACGACACAAAACGTCACACAGACATCCCACTGATAGACAAACAAAACAAGCATGTACCTAAGACCACCCTGTCCCGGCTCTAAGTCTTGTCTTGTTTGACACACTGTACAGGAAATCAGACACACAAGGCACCCCAGCAAAACATTCCTTTAGTGGAAAGGCCAGATTGAGAACTCATTGTAACTTGCCCTTGTGGCAGTTACACTGGGATCTGTGCACACACTCTTAACAGTTCTGGAATCTTACATACAAAATGTTAGCACAATATGGAGATAACTGCAGACACTGTTACGAAAACAACACTGTAATTTCCCTCCACTGATATTTTGTTTACAATTCAGGACATAACATATATTAATTCTTTTTTGGACAACGGTGAACAGAATTTTGCAGTCTGATCAGAAATATTCCTCAGAATAAATGCAGTCCTCCTCACAAAAGATAGTCTTAGCACCCACATATCAAAATTTCTCTCTCCAATCACATGATGATTCTCAGGTCTTTCCTGTTTCAGGAATTCCTGCAGAGGTGGTGGATGGAAATCTGTCTCTTATAACATGCGTATTTCATGTCAGAGGGATTTATGGTCACACTCTGCAGTAATCGCTTCTGTCACGTAACTTTTCCAAAAGAACTTGACAGTTCACACAACCCCTTGAAGCAGAAAAGTGGTTTTTGAATTCCTTAACCAGAGAGAACGGGGGAGAGATGTTTTAGACACTCATACTTCACTAACTTGTGCTAACTCGTGTTCACAGGCGTTACCAATTGGGTAGGTCTGAGAGAGAACTCTCACCTTTGTTCTGTTTCTTTTCCAACAACATGAGATATTGGAGCCTTTTATTCCAATTCTTTTTTCACACAGAACATGTTTATCATACAAATAAAATCAACAGCAACCACAGCTTACATGGCCTCAGGTGCCTGCAGGCTTCCTAGACGTTCTCTCCTCGTTGCCCTTCCCCTCTTCCGCTCAAATCTATTCTGAGGATATTTTTAGTGAAGGCCAGTAAGTTTCTAGTTCTTAAATGTTATTAATCGTGGTATGTTTTTCTCCCCTATTTCCCCCTTATTCAGGATATATTTTCCTTTTTAAAAGAACCAATAAAATTATGTCTGTGGTATGAAGACATCTCTTTAGCCCTAATGCCTTTGTGCTTCATTCCTTAGAGCTGGGACTTCTCAGGAAGCAAAGCAGGGGAAATCTTAATCTGTTTTGCCAAATCCTTTCTGATAAGGCTATTAAGTTTCTGGGTAATTTTGAGGTGACCTGTGTCTTCTTTTTCTTCTCCCAAAGTAAAAGTCCTTGAAACATAGACGCTACCCAAATTCAGAAATGCTACAAGTTGGAAAACAGATGTGTACAATTTGCTTTTGTTTTACTATGGAATATGAGCTTAAAATGTTATTGGATGGTAATGTGCCAGCATCTTTCCATCTGTGACTCATTAGCCCTATATTACACAGTCAGAATTTTATATATAAATCTCATATTTATGTAACAAAGAACAAAAACAGATACAAACAAGAAGTCTATGAGGGATCAGAATCTTGACTAGTGGCAATAAATCATAATGTCACTTTGAACAGGATTATCTTACAAAAATAGTTTAAAATTAAAAGGCTTTTAATAGCATACATGGTAGGCTTTACAAATGTTTTGAAATTTGAATGTATAAATAAGTCACTTCTTGTACTCCTATCTGAGCACGACCAGCTTGCTGTTTGATCATATTTTCTAAATGCTCACAAAAAGCATTAGTTTTATAACTTCTTAGTTTGGTTTCCAGTGTTAACGAGATCTAAAGAGGAAAGTGGATAGGTAATTCTCTCCTTGGACAGGTCCTTTTCATCAAACAGAAAATCTCTATTTGAGGAAGCTGATTTTATATTCCTCAATCATCTTAACTGTAGAAAATGCTACCAGTTAGGTGCTTAGAGCTACATTTTGAAGATTTTATTAGTCAGTTAGGCAAAAGGACTTCAGAAGTTTATATGTAACAGAGTAGAAAGAGACATGTGGAAGAATTCTCTTAAATTCTAACAAAAGTCCCATGGCCTGGGCTGTAATATCCTAGGACCCTGTGCTTTTCAAACCTAGGCAATGCTTAAAGGGTACATGCCAGTGTTGGGCAGGGGAAAGGCGAGGGGGGGGGGGTAGATAAGGGTTATTTAAAGGCAATAATAAATATGGCATATCTTCCTTAAGATTCAAGTTTGATAAACGTTAAATAATTTTAAATTTTTATGTAAATCAAACATTGTCATATTATGGGGTAGAATGTAAAATTTGTACAAATTTTAAAAAGTTTTACCATTTGCTGGTGGTAGAGAACTTCATGCCACAGGGGATACCTCTAGATTACAGGTAGATACTGAACTGACCCTCTCCTTCCCATGGGAGGTCTTTGGAGGATAAGTTTGAAAAGTACTGGTGCCGAATACTTATCTTTAAGTAATGGCTTTACGTGGCCATAACAGTTAGACTTCCCTGGCTGTTCACACAGAGTGTACTTTTTCATTAACTATGCCATTTTTTCCCACAGTATCATTAGTCATAGTCCTTTCTAAATAAATGGAATGGACATATTTCACTTGGTTTTACATCTTGGAAAGCTTGCCTGGTACACAGATGGTTCAACTGGGTGTGGGAAAAAAAAAATTTGTCTCCGGAAAAGCATGGAGAAAGAGTCCAGGAATAAGCTGAAATGCTGAAATAATGTGTACAATTTTCACTCCCAAATATTTTGAATTCTTTTTTTAAAAATTTTTTTAAAATATTTTATTTATTTATTTGAGAGAGAGAATGAGAGAGAGAGAGAGAGAGAGAGCATGAGAGGGGGGAGGGTCAGAGGGAGAAGCAGACTCCCTGCCGAGCAGGGAGCCCGATGCGGGGCTCGATCCCGGGACTCCAGGATCATGACCTGAGCCGAAGGCAGTCGCTGAACCAACTGAGCCACCCAGGCGCCCATATTTTGAATTCTTAAGAAATTGGATGTACGAGAGTATAAAACTACCTTCCACAACCTATTTTCCTCTTGAGGGCCTACACAGACAACTTCACGAATCTTCCTGACATTCCTCAAAGTAGGTTACAATCTCAGACCAGTGTTTTAACATCATTTTAGGAGGAGTTTTATGTCCCTTCATTACCTTCTAGAAGCAACGAGGGAAGCCTACCCCAAAGAAATGCTGAACAAATAGATATTTCATAAGACATGCTCCTAACTACTTAGAAGTCATAAATTCAAGATGCTATTATTTATTGTATACTCAGTAATGGTGTTAGATGATTACATTATAGTGAGAAAACTTTGTGTTTTGTCAAAAGTATTCAATAAGGCAATGTTAGAGCCAGGAATTTAATCCATGACTTCTAATTCCAGACTTTGTCATCATGCAGTATATGTGTTTATAATTTCTTTCTACCTTTACAGTTTGAATATTAGAAATATCAACAATATGTAAGAAGTATTTATTGAGTGCCTTCTGTGCAGCATTTGCTGTACTAGGCGAGGGGATTGAATGGTAAGCATGACCACAAGCTCACAGGGGTCAAGATCTAGAGGAGAAATAGAAAAAAAGAAGCAGGCAGTAATCAGATGGAGGGGTGACCATTTTGGTGAAGGAGAGGGGCTACAAAGTAAATAAAATGTACCTAATGGCAGATTTGAGGAACCCTGGAAGAATTCCCAAGCATGTGAATGAGGGAATGGGAGTTAGTACAGCAAGAGGAAAACTAAAGACAGAGATCTCATTTAGGAAAATATTACAATAGTCTAGTTGAGGGACTGGGCCCTAGAACTAGAGAAGGGACAAATCCAAAGTTTCAAGTGATATTAAGGAGGTGAGATTCACAGGACTTGTAGTCCGGCTGAGAGCAAAAGGGAGAAGGAGGAGCGGTGAGTGGTCCTAGGTCTCTAGCCTGAGGAGTGGAGGATGGTAGAGGAAACACTAGAAAAGAATGGGTTTTCTGGGGCAGCTAGGTGGTTATGGATGACGAATTCAGTTAGGGACCTATTGAATTTGAGGTGTCTCTGAACAGCCAAGGCATGGCAGTTAGATATGCATATAAAATAGTCAGGAGAGAGGTGGGGTTCACAAGTCTAAGGGCTGCTGAAGTCACATAAAGAGGCTGTAGAGAGAGCAGATTTAGAAAACAACTCTTGGAAAGACTTCAATTTAGGGATGAGCAGAGGAAGAAGCAACTACAAAGAGAAATAATAAGTGTGGTTGTAGAAGTAGGAGGAACGCTAACTCACCTCACAAAAAATTCTATACAGGCAATGATTCAAAATGACTCATTAGTGAAAATTGCATTAATTAATTGTGCTGTATAAATAAATATACATGAACTGAATTCCTCCACTCACTGTTGCACTGAGAGGTACTCTAGAGGCTAACAGTGGCCAATGCCACCAACAGTGGATGCTCACTAATATGCACAGGGGAGTATATCTGAGGTTGTAGAGGTATAAAGGAAAAATTAAACTATTAATTATAAAAGTGGACAAGGAACCTCAAGAGCAAATCATATTGGAAGAAAAAATATATTACGCTGAGAAATGAAAATCCCTGAGTTTCTCCATAATGGAAATAGTATCATGACTCTGCTGGCCTCAAATATATCATGCATTACAACACAACAATTACAGTGGGTATGTGTACAGCATAAATAAAGATGAATATTCCTAGAAGTTGATAAAACAATTTCTAGCTAAGAGAGACCAGATGGGGAAACATTGTAATAGTATGCAAACATATTTAGGTAAAAGAATAACTTTAGTTTAACAGCAGGAACTGCTAGAAAGCAAAATAAGGAAAGAAAAAAAATTAAGAGAAAGGAATTTGCTGCTAAATCATTTCATATTGCAGTAGATGGTATACTCTGTCTGAATAGAAAAATCAACTACATGAAGCTAAATAGCTAATGGAATCCTTTGAACAACCAAATACCATGAACCTATGAAA